GGAGGGACTAATTAAAAGACTCAGCGCTCGTTGTACACGCTGGACTCGGAACGCAAGTCAAGGAAATTACTGAAGATAGCATCTGCGAGAAAATAAATGCTAGATAAATCGGGTGGAATAGCGCTATCTGGTCGGCTGCTCCAGCGCGGCTAATGTTATATAACATAATGAGAACAGGCTATACGGAAAACAGCCGGTATGGAGATTTTCTACAAACAGCTCCATTTTAGTGGCACAGTTTAAATCACTTTGTTAACATGTTGACTTTTTAATCCTTGATAGTCTTCAGAGAAATGGGAAATAGGATTGCATCTTTTATTGCGCTGTGTTTTGCACACTTCTAAAAACCATATAACCTTTTTTTTCTTCGTAAAGTTAACTTTTGGCTTGGTTTTATACCTTTTTGATTATGTTTGTAGCTGAACTCCAAGCAAACAGCTAATACATACAGTTGAAATACATATGTATGAATTGTGTTCCTTACTGAAAGATTTATATTTATTTTCAGCTAATATTGTATTTCAGGCACTCGTGACATGGCCAGGTCCCTGACATTCTCTATAATGAAACCGTATGGCTTGGTCAAGAAGCTCCCATCAACCTCTTAATTGTTGAAAGAAGGAGCAGGAGGTTATCCTTGTTTCTCCTTTCTTGTAAGCATGTTATTTCTATTAGACTAACAGTGTAAACAAAGAGATGACCCAGAGCCATTGGTCAGAGGACTGATTTCACTTTATATCCTGCACAAAGCAACTCTGTTAGTTCTTTCAAAATCCCAATACCAGCTCTCTTTAATAGAAGAGTTAAGAAAAATACATCTGTTATTACAAGGAGAGGTGAGTATATTACATATATTACATGGATCTATTACAAGGGGACATGAGTTTAATAAGTCTGGTGTTAAAAGGATTTGTCACTGGACATGTTTAAAGACCTAACAGGGACACTTTAACAAAAGATTTTTAGTTGGCTATGGGCTGGGTGGCTAATTCATACCCACTGATATACAGTTGTGCTCAAAAGTTTGCACACCGTGGCAAAATCATGAAATTTTGGCATTTATATTGAAAATATTACTTATTGTGCCAAAAACTGCCTTTATTTAAGGATAATGGTCATATGAAGCCATTTATTATAAGATAGTTGTTTGGCTCTTTAACTCATAATGATAACAAAAATCATTCACATGGCCCCAATCAAAAGTTTACATCCCCTGGAATGTTTGGCCTTGGTACAGACACACACAGGTTAAAATGGCAATTAAAGGTTGAATTCCCACATCTGTGGATTTTAAAATTGCATTTAGCTTCTGTGCTTACATAGTCAACTAGTTTGTTAGCTCTCATGCGGATGCTCTGAGCAGGCTTGTTATTGAGCCCGAACAGAACTATCAAAAGACCTGCGTAGCAAGGTAATGGAAATTTATAAAGATGGAAAAGGATATAAAAAGATATCCTGTTAAATCACTTATTAAGAAGTGGAAAATTATGCGATCTGTTGATACCAAGCCAAGGTCAGGTAGATCAAGAAAGAATGCAGCCACAACTGCCAGAATAATTGTTCAGGATACAAAGAAAAACCCACAGGTAACCTCAAGAGAAATATAGGCTGCTCTGGAAAAGGGTTTTTTAAAGCATGGACAACTGTCCTGGAGACAGCTGGCTAAGAGGGGAATTTTCCTAACTCTGGGAGATTTCTTCTATCTTCATGTTGCATCCCTGGGATAATAAGTGAATTTCCCCAATAATACACAGACAGCAAATAAAGAAAGACAGAAAGAAATAATCTGGAAGGGGCTTTTAACCCTTCTATACTCTATCTAAAGTAAAAATGAAAAGCTATACATACACTTTAAAGTATATGGCATGCCTTGATAGGAAAAGTATACATGTGTAGCCTACGCAGCCCAACACCAATGTGCTGGCAGTTACTACTGTAACTTGATCATGTGACTTTTTATTCTTCTCTATCTCTTCAGTATAGCAGGGCAACTGGGTGAGATGAAGTCACATCTTGTCTGTTGATGACATAATTGGGTCTCAGACTTCAAATCCTAGGTCCCCTTGCGGTGCTTCTCACTGCTAGGCTGTAGATATTGTACAGTACTTACATGTTGACAACAGAAAGAGGTCAGTGGAAGCACTGGTGTGCCTACATTGTCATCTGTGGAGGACATGCTGTGGGGGGGTTAAAAAATATATTTATTTCTGCAGTAATTTTGCAGAATTGTCAGACATTACAGAGACAATGCTGACAGGGTATGCTTTACAAAATACTGCATAAAGGGAGCAAACATTTTCATTCCTTTAAACCCAATTCCGGGCCCCACCCCCCATTGGAGCACCCTAACTTCCAGGACAAAAAACTCCCTACAGATTCACTTTTTACAATTGTCTTTTATCAGGTCTAATGACATCACATATCCTCTTCCCCCTGTGTGGATCCTTTCTTTCTCCTGTGAGTCCAAATGCCAGTAGCAGAGCCTTACCCATATGGAAGAAAAATATATTTGAAATATATTTAAAAAATATTCTTCCCAAATATATTGCCATATATTTAAAATACTACAATTTTGGCCATATTCAATATATTTAAAAAAAAAAAAAAAAAAAAAAAAATATATATATATATATATATATATATATATATATACACTGCATGTTGAAATGTGTTTTTATTACAAAATATATGAAAATATTTTTTAAAATACATTTCAAATATACTGTATGTCTTTAAAAATACAAATCTACATTTTTGGAATGCATTTACAAATATATGTTAAAGTTACTTGTTTACATGTTAAAAAAAATCTGATAAATATATATTTTTAAATTATTATTGGTATTATTAAACAAAGTTCTAGCTCATAGCTTCTCAACCATTGGCATTCATATCTCTAGAAGTGCTTCAACTTCATACAGCAATTTTGTTAAAGTGAGTTTAAATAGCTAACATAAAATAAATTGACTCAACAATGTATCTTTAGTTAGAAAAATAAAAATATAAGGTATTGTTTAGAGTACTGACCTAATGCCATACATGGCTCAATTTTCATTGCTTTAAGCCCAAATAAATTGTTTCCTCCATCCACGCTGATAAACATGCATGGAGGAATCTCCACTGCCAACTGATTGGATGCAGTCATGGTTCAGTTGATAAGTTTCCATCTGGCTCAGTGGATTTTTAAAGTGATATTAAAGACAATTGTAAAAAAATATAAAAAATAAACATATCATACTTACCTGCCCTGTGCAGTGGTTTTGCTGGTCCTCTGTTGGTGTTCCTGGCCCCTCTTTCCTGACAAGTGTCCCTGAAGCAAGCAGCTTGCTATGGGGACACCCAAGCAGGCTCGTTCCTGAGCCACTGCCCCGACCCCTCTCTCTTCTCATTGGCTGTGATCGACAGCAGCAGGAGCCAATGCTTTCCCCGGAGAGCAGAGGCTCTCGTGCAAATCCTGGATTGCGAAAAGCATTAAGTATTAGGGGGGCCGAGGGGGGGCGCTGCTTCACACAGAAGTTTTTTTACTTGCATGCATAGAATGCATGAAGGTAAAAAACCTTAAGCCTTTACAACCACTTTAAATCAAGTTTTGCTGAGCTGAATGGTGCTAGCATGGTCACGTATGAATGCTTCTTCATAGAAACACTCCAACAGATGTGAGAAAGGGCCGTAATCCCGCCCCCCCCCCCCACCCCCCCGAAAAACAGAAGAGAGTACTTATATCACTCTTTTTGTGCAAAGGTACACTCCATTGTCAAGCCATATCAAAAAAGCCATCCATTACAATAGTAATTTTCCTAAGGCTGACAATAAGTTAACACCTACAATGAAACACCCACAATAAATCCCTCAGAGCTTGACAAAACATGTTGCCAAAATTTCTATAATTGCAACATTTGCAATTCTATGATTACACTGGTGAGTTTTAATTCCACCTGCACCCTGGTAAACAATCATAGATCATTATTAGATAGTTAGATCATAGACATTATTACAACTGCAGCACAGAACACGATCACTGAAAAGGTTAATAAACTATACAGAGAGTGGAACTAGGACAATGTACTTCTGAGAAGGGAAGCATATGGGATGTTTACATTAGACAGGGTGAACCCTAGAGATTTAAACACAGCATTTTCATACACGTATTATTTTTGGATGATCATAACATCAGTGTGATGCACAGATCTTTATTCAGTATGCAGATATTTTGTTTATTTGTATTTTTGTCTTTAATGTTTATGGTGTTAAACACCTCTTTTCTCTTAATTAGTCAATTGCTTAGGGGCTTTTGGGTAAGACAAACACTAATTGGGGTATTTTGTGTCTATGTTAGTATTATTGTCAACCGTAATAGATTATTATTTTTCTTTGTCATGCCTGTTTTTTTGTATTTTTCTGATTTGTAAGCCTGAGCTTACATGTGTTTTGATGGCACGTTTCTAGGTCTCCCTCATTTTTCCATGTCACTCTTTTCTTTTTTTCCCCCTGTCAATCCTCTTTCCAGCTCCTTCTCTCCCTCCAATCCTTTATCCCCATACATTGCATCCATGATACAAAGGGAGAGGCATGTTGGTTAGTAATGTCAGCTTACAGAGCGTTGACACTACACATGTTGGTGACATCTCCAGAGATTGACCATACTTCCCACTGAGGAAGACACCTAGTAATCGTGAGGTGGATCTGGTATAAAAGCGTTCTTAGACTCTTATGTATATATGAGAGTCATATGGGTCTGGTAAGCAGATATGGATTTCTCGTTTAGGTGATGGTGCACAACGATTGGTGATCATATTAAGAAGTCTTATCATAATGGACTTTTTTCTTTATTAATTTTTAATATAAATTTTTCACTTGTCCAATCTACTTACTTTTTTCTTTATATAATCATGATCGCAGCACTTGGTAATTATATACAGTATAGTTTGCTTTGAAAAATATCTCATGGTGTGCTAGCAGCTCTTAGTGGATATTTCTACTCACAAGTGTGGATACCTTATATATATATATGTATATATATATATATATATATATCAGGGGCGGACTGACAACTCATGGGGCCCCCGGGCAATAGGGGATCATGGGGCCCCTGTGTCCTTGCCCAAACTCAAAAAAAAAAAAAAAAAAGCCTAGGAAAAAGGTACCAGGGGCATCTCATGGGGCCCCCTACTGACCCCAGGCCCTCGGGCAGTGCCCGAGTTTCCAAATGGTCAGTCCCTGATACACTATATATATATATATATATATATATATATATATATATATAGTGTTTGTTGCCATGATATTTCTTATTCTATATTTGTTGGTGTAATATGGAGGGAATATGACATCATGATTATGTCATATCATAGGAATACTAGTGACTTCTTATTCTTTAGCCCTACAGGACAGAGGTCCAGTTCTAGATAAAGCTGCTGAGGCCCTTTGTTTCTATACCAATAGTTTGGAGACCATTATACACAATTAAAGCTTTACAGGCAATGGATGGAATTACACTTCACAGGGTACTAAATACATTTTGCAGGTATGCAGCTATGAATGGAGAAGCGCTGCAGGGGTTTTGTGACACATTATGGCATTTTGTATGCTGCGTGGGCTGGTCTGGATTGGTGTAGTCACTAATACATTCGGAGAATGTTTCCACACTTAATAATGGTTGCATAGGGAAGTCTATACTATACTGCAAATCAATTTAGAATTGTAAATTGTTATTACATTTTTAGGTTAACAATCTAGGAGACCCAATGAAGAACAAGGATGTTACAAATGTTAGGATACATTATTCAATTATGACTTATAGTATATACCCAAACAGAACATCCCATTTTTTTTTTTTTTTTTTTTTTTATGCATTTATTTATTTATATTAATTTATTTTAATTAATAATTTTATTTTAATATATATTAGCGTATTAGAGCTTCACAAATATTATATATATATATATATATTTTTTTTATATATATATATATATATATATATAATATGCACTGTATATTCCCCAAGCGGAGCAGAATACTGTTTATTTGGAAGTTGTTTTCCTTCCTGTACTGGAAAAATGAAAAGTTTCTATTTACAAAAATAACATTTCAGAGTTGTGCAGGGTCACGCTGGTGGCTCAGATCAGGAAATGAATGGGAATGGGTCACTGACTGGCAGAATAGAATTCGCCTTGTCTCCATAATTAGGATCAGCAGTTTTCTTACCCAACACAAGGAAAAAATTCATATTGGTGGCCATAGCTGTCAGTGGCACCCATTGATTACTGAGCCTTTTTTTTATTGACACCTTTAGACTAAAATCACTTATTTTCTGTTCAGCACTCTGTATTTGTAGTTTGTATCTGTGCTATCTGTGCACAGGGGCAAGCAGATTTTTTTTCTCCCACAGACAAGTGGTTCCAGGGATATAAATGTCTCATTCTTCTGGGTCACTTACCCTCATCTGCTGAGTTTACCCAATGGCTATTAAGGGTACATTCAAACCTGCATTTCTGGCTGACAACGGGCACATGCGAGAAAATCAGAGGGGGGTCCCTGCGATTAGCTGCAGGAGGCAGCCCCATTGAAAGCAATAGGAGGCCTCCAGCTCTCGCAGCTAATTGCAGCCACTCGCATGTAATCGCTATGCAAGTGATCAGCCCTGGGCTTAAACAGCCTGCATCCAAGGCCAATTACTCTCAGGTAATCGCCCTATAGCTATTACATGCGAGTGGCTACATTAGCTGTTGGAGCTGGAAGCCTCCCATTGCTTTCAATGGGGCTTCTACCCGCTGCTAATTGCTGGGGCCACCTATTGAATTGTATTGTAACTGTACTGTCTACCTTTATATTGTAAAGCACTGTGAAAACTCTTTGTGATTTATAAATCCTGCATAATAATAATAATACTTCCCTGATCAACAATATGTTGAAATGTTATTGGCTGTTGCTAACAATTATGGAAATTATTGTTTTCTATTAAGTATATGTGGACATGATTGATGATTGATGATGGATTTACATCAGGGGACAATGTTTACATGTTTTTTTTATTTAAGGACTATATGTGGTATTTGTCGTATATGTAGTGGGGCCCACTTACTGTAAAGGGGGTTTCCAGATCCCTTTAAGTTCCCCCCTACAAAACCCCGGTTCTCTTGGCAACCAGATGTGAGAAAGAAGCTCTTGTCAACATTGGGACAAGGTGCCTTTCAAGGTGTAGAGGCTTTACTGCAACATCCCCCCTCACAGTGTTGAAAAGCATTTGGCCTGGTTTTATACTGGAAGGGGGGCTTTATGCTTAATGCCCCCCTTTCCAGATCACCAAGGCTGCGTGTCTGGATAAGGGTCTGCTTTTTTTTTTATTTTTTAATATGTGTTTTCCCTTTAAAAAAATAGGGTCAAATGGCATGGGGTTCCCTTCAAAATTCATACCATGCCATGGGTGGCTGGTAAAGGGATGGCATCAAGTGATTAACCCCCCTTCCCCTTCCTGAACCTTACCAGGAGACATGGCTTTCCACATTGGGTGTGTACCTGATAAAGGGGGTAAAGGCCAAGTGGTTCATCAAGTCTGATCCATTTTTGTTTATTTATACATTTTTTTGGTGTTTTTTTTTATATTTTTGTCTGAGTATATACCTATGTTTGTCCCAAGAATATTTGAATCCCTATACTGTTAACTGATTCAATACCCCTGATGGGAGTGTATTCCAAGCATCAACTAATCTTTCGGTAAAATAATACTTTTTAACATTAGTTTTGAAGTTTTCTCCTGCTAGTTTGAGGGCCTGCCCTCTTGCTCTTGATCTTGGCTATTGAAAATACTGCCCTCTTGAACCTTATTCACCCCCCTTGATGTATATAAAGGTTTCAATCCCCCTCCCCTTTCCCTTCTTTCCTCCAGACTGTACATAATAAGTTCCTGAAGTCTCTCCTGATATGTTTTATCCTTGAGACCTTTCACCATTTTTGTTTCCCATCTCTGGACTCGTTCTATCTTATTAATATCTTTTTGTAGGTGAGGTCTCCAGAACCGGACACATTATTCTAAATAAGGTCTAGGTAAAGATCTATATAGGAGAATCATAAATCCTTCTTCCTGCTGGTGACTCCTCTAGTGATAACTACAGATCTATATAAGGAAAATAGGACCTCCTTACTGCTGCTGGTGACCCTTCTAATGATGCATTTTAGCAACTGATTTTGCTTTTCCCACTGCATAACCACTGTGGGGTAAATTACTAAAGGCAAGTAGATGCTCGCCTGCAGGACTTCTCCTGAGCCTCTCCCATCCTATGGAATTTCCTACTCCAATCTGTCCAACTGTCTCCTACTCTGTCCACTTTTAGGTGATCCCTGAAAACGTTTCCTTTCAGAGAGGCCTATCTTGTCTCCACCTTAAAACTGTACATGTGTTTTCTCTATTGGTTCATCCCCAACAGTTATTACCTTTTGTATCACTTGATCCTCCCTGTTTAGATTGTAAGCTCTAACGGGCCCTCTGATCCCTCCATTATTCAATTGTATTGTAACTGTACTGTTTGCCCTCACATTGTAAAGCGCTGCGCAAACTGTTGGTGCTATATAAATCCTGCATAACAATAATCATAATCGTGCACTTTGCAAGGTGCAGTTGCACTCTGCAAGTGCAATTGTTCCAGGACTTAGAAAATGAGCAGAAGCTCTCCTGAATTTTATCATCCAATCATGTACAAGCAAAAATGCTGTTTTTTTAACATTTTCCTGGGGTTTTCTTTGCAAAGTGAAGCTTTACCTCATTTACTAAGCTCTGGAGAAACTGCACTTTTGCAAAGTGCACAGTCTATTTGCCTTTAGTAAATCAATCCCACTGTTTGCTCATTTTTCAGTCATCTGAAAAAAAGTACTCCCAAATGTTTTTCTCCTGTAGTGCTGGCCAACACTTTACCCCCAATACTGTAGTCAAGGGAATCTTTTCCCCTAGGTCAGTAGCTGATACTGAGCTCTATTGGTATAAAGCCAAATTAATAGTGACCAGTAAAGTATTAAAAATTAGCAAGGATGATGACAATGTTATCCAGAGTAAAAAAGGATTTTATTATCCACTTGAAAGGAATTAAAACCATTGTTCATAGTCATATGTCCAATGTAAACAAAGGAAAAAGTGGGTGGTATAGCCCAATGTGTGAATGTGGTCGATAAAATTGGCTTACTACTGAGGAAACAGGTACATCCGGACCAGGGTGCAGGATTCGGTGAAGAGGAATCCTGTGGGCTGCTCGGCTGGAAAATAGGTCGTCAACTGTGAGAAGGTACCACTCACAGAACACGATGCTGCCTTGGATGTCCCCAGAACTCGCATATCAGAAATGACATCTGCGCGTGCCAGAAGTGACGTCAGTGAAGCGCAGAAACTGGCAGATTGACTCTGATGGATGGACAGAGAAGCCAGAGTGCCTGGGCCGGACCACAACAAGGCCTGGTTGCTATGATGACGCGTTTTGCACAGATACATGCTTTGTCAAAGCACCAGGTCTTGCTGTTCACTGACGTCACTTCCGGCACGCACCGATGTCATTTCCGGTGAGTGAGTTCCAGGGACATCCGAGGCAACATCCTGTAGTACGTTCTCACAGCTGAGGACCTATCTTCTGGCAGAGCAGTCCTCAGGATTCCTCTCCACTGCCTCCTGCACCCTGGTTCGGATGTACCTGTTTCCTCAGTAGTAAGCCAATTTTTTTGACCATATTCACACGTTCGGGCTATACCACCCACTTTTTCCTTTGTTTACATTGGACATATGACTATGAACAATGGTTTTAATTCCTTTCAAGTGGATAATAAAATCCTTCTTTTTTACTTTGGATAACATTGTCATCATCCTTGCTAATTTTTAAAACTTTACTGGTCACTATTAATTTGGCTCTATACCAATAGTGCTCAGTATCAGCTACTGTTCTATTCACATATGTCTCCTACTGTTTATTGAGCAGATGTGGTTTTAGCCTTCACAAGCTACGAGACCTTATTTTTGGTTACCAGCGCCCAAGCAGTTTGTCGGTTTCTTTTCGCCTAGGTGCAAACTTATTTCATCTACACAGTATTGAAACCAAAGCTTCATCAACATTAACCAGGGAGCTAGCATTCTCAAAAGAAGAGTTCAGCAATGGCAACCACTATTATTCTCCCATGACATTGGGTCCCATAACCAATGATTTTCCACCGATGATTTTTCAATGAAAGCACATA